ATTTATTATAAATATATATATTTCTATTGAATTACTTGTTGTTGAAGTTGTTGTTGCATATCACCAAAATTTAAAGTATCCATACCTGGCATACCACCAAGACCGAATGGAAAATTGCCAACTGGATTTGGTTGTTGAGTTGGAACTGTACGCGTAGTAGGCTAGAAAATGTTAATAGTTATTATTTTCAAATAATAATTTCTATCTGAATAAATTTCGAATTCGATCAAAGCATTCATTAATTCGATGACTAGTATGATTTTTAAATAAATTTAAGGATCAAATTTAAAAAATCATTACGGTACCTGTAACAAATCTTCACGTACCAGCTCTTTTTTTATTTTTGAAGCTCAAATTCTCTGCATTGTCTATCTTTCAGAACTGATTTAAATCTCTAAATCAATGCTATTCCAATCATAAAATTTAGATTTTGTTATAGATTAAAAATGAAGATAACGAAGAAAAATATTTATTGAGCACCTATTGAATCAAATTCAAAATAGACTGAAGTCAATCTATGATTTTCTGATTAATCAATCTCGTTTTCATCGAAAGAATGTGTCGAAGGGTACTGACTTTAACTATGAGAAGTTGCCAAATAATAAACCGTTTGTATTCTAGCGTATGGATAAGCAGCAAGAAGACAGTAAATTTTTGTTTAAGACCATTTTTTCTTCCATAGAGAATAGAACTATTCTACTTTATTCTCGAGACACAGATTAATATCGAAACATTAAAGTCGTCAAGATAATTCTTTTCTGAATCATAAACAACTAGATGTATTAAACAATCTGAGTAGTTCCAGACTGAAGATAGAAAATAGTGGTTTAATCTGAAAAAAACATTGAATAAAATCTAAGATGATTTCCTAGGCTCATATTCAAAACTTGTGTGATCCATAGCGCACTTTTTACAAGTCTTCGATGAATAAACAACAGTCTAGTAGAGAACATGTTCTCCTTAATCACGCTATAATTACAGTGTTTGTGTTGTTAATGAAATACGCGTTTGTTTAGCAGAGAGCGTATGTTAGATGATTTATAGGTTTTATCATATTTCAATGTTGTCGTTTACAATTACATTGTAATATCTCAGATCATTTGTATATTTACTTCGGGTTGAACTCGAGGAGGTGTTGAGCTAGCGGCTGTATTTGAATTTGTATCCGATTTTGGTGCTCGAATAACTAAATGAATAGTTACACCATCTTTTATATCTATTTATCAAACAAAATTTGTAGTTAAGAAAATAATTATTTCATTTTTTCTACCATGCTTTTTAAGATCTTCATCATCCTTTAGAATTTTACCAGAATAAATCAGACAAATTTGATCAACCGACGAGTTAAATTCTTTGGCGACTTGATCTTTGAACTAGCGAAATGAAGAAAACAAAAATTCCTCTGATATTTTCTTGTATGAAAACAAAATCACCTCTTTAACAGTTGACGATGCATCAATTGATATATCCTTTTTATCTTTTGGAGTTTTAATTGTTAATTTAAGTTTCGAATTTGTAGTTGTCTGTGAATTTTGACTGATAGTAGGAGTATCATTATTACTTGCATCCATTTGTTCACTCATTGTTTTCTTCTTTTCTTGTTCTAACTCAAAAGAATCACTCAAATGGATGAAATCTACAATAGACGACAAAAAAAAACAAAAAGAAATCTTTTAAATCATTCTTGATGATCACATTTATTTTATGTGTTTCATGAAAATTTTTATTATCTCACAAAGAAAAAGAACAACATTTAAAGACAACAAAAAAGAAAAAGTAGCCTGATTATACAACGAGATAACCGGATCGATGTTTTAACTAAATCGATCTTCACGATCAGCTGAATATGTGTCAGGATTCTCTTCATTAGAGAAATTAAGAAAATGTGATGGACGATGAATTTCATGATAGAATTCTTTTGGATTCGATAAAATTAAATCGTATTTCATATTAGCATCATGACGAACACCCTGAAAAGAAAACATAGATTATTTGTTTAAGAAAAATAAGGCAACACAATATGTTATTCTTACCATGAAGTTATAGTTCCATGAACTTTGTCCTGGTACCATGAAGAATCCTAAGAAACGATCAGATAATAACATTTGAACTTTCTCATAATGTGATGGTGCATATCCTGAAAAATACAATAAATAAAATTCTTTCTTTTAGTTTTTTTTTTTATATAAGAACAAACCTTTTGGATTATTTCCTCGATCAGTATTTGATCGACCCCATTCATAACCACTTGGTGTTAATTTATATGCTGTTAAAGAAACTGAACCAGGTGTGAATGAACATGTTATTACAATTGTTTTTTCTCCGTCCCATGACGCATGATCATTCATAACTTTAGCATGTGTTGTTATATCTTGTGGTGATAATTGTGGTAATTCATTGGGTTGAGTATGAATCCATCCAAGTGGTTCCATGTCCTAGTTAATTGAACAGATATTATTACCTTACTGATAAAATATCTCGAAATGATCGAAAAAATAAGGCTGTTTCTCAGATAAAACAAAGTAAAAAATATGTCTTCTACTTATTCTTTTCTGATTGAGTTATGACATTTTTAATATGATTTCTACAACTGCAAGATAAACAATAAATGCAAGATGATTCTATATGATATATTGATCATCGTCTACAAAAGAAATCTACTTAAAAAGCAGACGAGAACTGATTGTCAATATGATTAAAATATTATTTTAATCATACATTCGACAACGATATCAATTCATGTGTACATGATCAAGAATGAGCTGCATTTATATAAATACTACTCTAGATAGACCTTCAAAGAAGTAAAGTTTCTCAAGAGAACGACTCCTGCATTGATATTCATCACGCGTACTCCAAAGTTTTCTCATGTACACTGAATGAAGTCTGCTATTCTTCATCAAATCATACTTAGAAGATGAACTATTCCAACTAGTATTGTGATAAATCTAACTGAAGATCACATAAATATAAGATGCTTGTGTCCAAATTACCACTATGTATAATTTCATGAAATATTATGAATATTCATGATTTCAATGCAATTTAACATATAAATATCGTGATAATTTCGAATTGAAATCTATCTAAACAAACTTTCTAGTTTGTTTTATTTATATGTCTGTTCGCATCATCTTTAATAAAAGTCTTACTATTCGAAACTATTAATTTTTCTCTCTCGATTTCTTACCTTAAGATATTCATGTTGTGGTAATAAATTCGGTAAATGAACAGTTTGATGGGTACCCCATTGTGGTGGTAAAACAACGCAACGGATTTCTTTTATCTGTGGATTATCCGGTGGACTAACACCATATAAATAGCCAGAGATCTAAAACACAGAGAAAGAATAACTCTTTTTTTTTAATCAAAAATAAAAATTCAATTGAAAACTTACTTGAGTACGAAGATCCGAAATAATAATAAATTTTTTCAAAATATTTTTTGGTAAAATATATCGATAACCCGTTTCTTTTATGTCATCCGATGAAACATAAATATGATTTGTACGTAAATGTAAATTTGTTGCTGATATAGCTCGTATACGCCATTCAGTTTTTGATGCAAATGTTTGTGCTTCATAATTACTTGTTGTTGTTGTTATTATCTTATCACCATGTTTATTAACTGTTTCTGTTGTTGTTGCTGTTAATTGTGATGAATCTTTTGCTTGCTTTTCAATTTCAGCTATTTGTTGACGTTGAGCACTTGGTGCACTTATTTCCATACCCAATATAATGTCACGTATTTCACTTTGTGTTAATGATGCAACATTAACGTTATTCTTCTTACCATAATCAGCTAAAATTAAATCTTTTAATGAAACTTCAACTTTAATCCATTCGTCATTAGTTAATGTTGGCCAAATATGATGAATTTCTGTTATTGTTGTTTTATCAGGTTTTAAAATCATTTTAGCTCGATCATTATTAACGTGTAATGCTTTCAAAATAAGAATTAAACGTGAAAATGCAGTATATGACGATATCGATTTTAACCAATCATCATATAAATTAAACATAACCATTTGAGGTTCAGTTGCTTTTAAGATTAAATCACCGAATTTTTCAACTTTAAGACAAGCTTGAAATGGTAATTGTAATTCACTACCTTTGATGACAATGTTTGGAAAGTCTATGCAAAAAAATAAATAATTAAATAAAATAATGATCGTATAGCATCCGTGACTTATACACAAAAGAAAGTTTCACAACGAATCTTTCATATGTTAATTAGAGTCTTTAGCAACAATTGATTTAGTTCAAATAGTTTACAGAAAATTTTTCTGATGTATATGCATTATGATGAACGAACTGTATAGTTAAGTTTGAATTCGACTATTTCTAAAAATGATTGATCTATCATGGTCGAATTGGAAATTCTCTCAAATTTTTGTCTATCTCTTCTATTTTATTAATTGATTGAAGATGAACAAAATCTGCATGTCTAATAGACGTATTATGAGAATTAAACTAACAGAAGAGGTGGAAATCATTTTTAGCATGCTTCTGTTTGTAGCAGTTCTGATTACTGCTTAAACAGACCTCAGCCATTGGGAATGAAGAAAAATCTGAGTCGCTTCTAGCTCTTCTAATTCAGCTACGACATTATTTCATCGGGCTTATCAATCATGTTCGAACGTTTATTCTTTATGGTTTTTTTTATGCCTAGTATATTCATATAAAGCAATATTTTGTTTGCAAAAAATTCTTCGTAGTAAACAAAAAATAAATAAATTTATTTGCTTACTATAAATAATGTCTTGACAAATCAAGTGGAATTTTTTTTAGGGTTGCGTCATTTTTAGTCTTTAGAAATTTTAAATGATTTTCATTTATTTCACCTATGCCTTAGAATTGTACATCGAACACTCTAACCATGATGATATCTATGGATAAATTCTTTGTTTATCAAAATATTCTACTAGACTCTTTCGTAATTTTAGAAGATTAAACTATTTCACTAATATAGTATGAATTATTAATTTAAGGAAAAAACACACAAACTTACCAAGTAAATGAACTTCCAATGGATCCAACATACCCTTACGGGTAACAATAATTTGTTTCGGTTGTTCTTCAACTGGTAATGAACGAATTAAAGCTGCAACTTCTTCAGCTGTTTTCCATTTAGCTAATTGTCCTAAACGTTTTTGGCCAGCCCAGACCGATGTATGAATAATTTTCAAAAATAATTGTCCTGTACGTGGATTAAAAATAAATATGGCACCATTGATTGGTTTCGTTGTTAGATTTCCTTCGTAAGTTTTATGTATGGTGACACGGTAAACATTGGTATCATCAACAAACCAAATGATTTGATTTGAGAATAATTCTCCATAATTTTGTGATGATAAATATGGTTCAGTTGGTTCAGATGAATATAATTGTAAACCTTTACGTATGCGTTCACGTAAAACATATAAAGCTGGATTTGCTTTCATTATTTTAGCCATAGCTTGTTGAATTAATGGTTTAGAACCAGGAAACCAATTACCGAATGCGCTATGTAAATTATATGCTAAATCAAGAGCAATCATAACACCGGTTGGTGACGGATAAGGTGACATATTATCTGTTGAATAATCAAGAAATTTCGCACGAGCATAACGTTCAATATCATGTGAATCATAATCACCCCAACGTAATTGTACGTCAAGCCAATATTTTTGTGATGTTGTGTTATCCATAACATCTTTTGAATCAGCTAATAATGATGGTTTACTGATATTCCATTTATATGCAGCAAATAGAAGAATATCTAAATGAATAAAAACAAAATGCAAACAAGAATTTAAAATAGAAAATTTCGAACTCACCGGCGCATGATGAATTCATTTTATAAGATTTTCTTGGATGAATTGTTTCTTTTTGTACAGTTTCAACTTCTAATGCATCTAATTCTTGATCAAATACTTGACTAAAAAAGTAAAAGAAATATATAAATATACATCAACTGATTATGACATAAAACTATTTTACCAAAGATCCATAACAACACTTTCATGAATTTTTTGCCATAAATGTGCACGAAATATTTGAATTAATGATATTTTCAATGTTGGAATTTTACCGTGCATAAAAATACCAGTTAAATCAAGTTGTACTTGAAAGCCAACATAAACATTAGCACGGTTTATTGTTGGACTCCACCATAGTGTAAAACGACGATTTGGAATTTGATTTAAACCTGAACGTTGAGCATTTGTTAATTTTTTCCAACGCATAGATTCTTCGAAGCCAGATGCTTTTTCCCAAAAGAGACCTTCCCATGTTGCAAAATATGTTCTAGAAATTAGAAAGAAATGTTAAAAAAAGAAAACTTCTAGTTCAATAGCAAACCCTTTAAAAAGTGTGTGTTCAAGAATGCCTTCAACACCACCTAATGCTTGAATCATGTCTGTACGGTAATTATTTAAATTCCATAATTTTCCGTCATGTCTAAAATTAGAAAATAAAATAAAATAAAATAAGATGGCTAGAAGTATACATACCGTTGATGTGTCCACCAAAATGGATTTTGTTTAAGGATCTAAAATAGAAAGAATGCTTGTAAGTTGAAGATATTTATTTATTGATATCTTTAAGATTATACTTGAAAAAACACTACTAATGTAAATGGTACGGAAATTAATTGTGAAATATGACATAGATTTTGTTGTCGACGACAATTACTTAGACGTCTATGACGATTTGCAGCTATCAAATTTCACTCTTATGTTTTAACCATTTCTTTAAATTATACTTCAGAATAATTCTAGACAATGACAGTTCCTTTTCTGTATCTCAATACACGGAAAAAAAGGAGTTGAGACGCGCTGATTCTGTTTCTAAAGAAAGATCAAACTGTATATAAAGCGAAAGCTATTGGTTTATGGAAGATAGTGTGTTTGAGGCTTTTCGGAAGGGCTATATTTCCATCTGAACACGCGATTAAAGTTGCCTTCAGTTTTGAACTGTGAAATATCTTGGGATCATTTTTAATGGTGATATAAAATTGCATTAGAAATATTTTTGAAGAAATTCAGTTGACAATGTGCAACAAGAAATACATCTAATAGTATATTGAAAGTTTTCCGTTTTTTTAAGAATCAGATAAACATATTTGAGAGCAGTATGATTACAGAACTTATTAAAAAAAGATATCAACATAGAGAAAAAGAATATATGTACTATCCAGTGATTTATCTACTGTATGGGCAGGGTGGGCGACGCCCACCAGAAAATATACAGTTGATTTGATAAAAGTACTACACGATAAGAAATTTTCTAGCCGACAACCCTTCCAAAAATTTCAACTGCCCATCCGAAAAATAAAATCTAGATAAAAACACTGGTAGTATCAGTGTAAATACTCGACAGGCAATCATCGATTCAGAGCCAACTACGATAATGATAACATGAAGAACAACATTCGCGTCAAAACAGAGAGGGACGTTGATTTCACAGTAGTATATTTCAATCGTTGATTAAACTGCACGAGCATATTCGCGAACAAATCTATTGCGAAATTTTATCTCTGTCTTCTAATTTAGAAGATATGCACTGTACCAAAAACTGATTAAAACTTAATTCTTACCTGATATTGTTTGAAATCAGTTCTTACACGCCAACCTTTATCATAAGCAAGTACATGTCGATCTTTTTGAAATAACGTATTAATACGTGGAATGCCTCTATCCCAAGAATCTTCAAGATCTTCTAATGTTAAACGTTTATTTTGTGTATTAGCTTCTTGTCGTTTAAGTGCATATTCAGCCCAAACACGTTGTGAATCAATAAATTCAGCTTCCCATGGCATAATATAACGATACAAATTTGGTATAAGTTGATCTTCATCATGACTCATACCGGAACGAAAATGTGTTACGCCAACATCAGTTTGTTTTGACCAACGAAGATCTGATTGAGGAATTAAAACATGTCCCATGGATAACATTCCTAAACCACCTAATTCTTTTGGTGTATAGAATACAACAGGTGGGAAACGTGAAGGCATTTTTGAATTTAAACCAATTTTAATACGTGTTTGAATTTTATTTTCACATTTAACAAGTAAATCCAATAATTCTTGCGTATTGACAACAGCTTCACGGAAATAGGTCATTAATCCAATTAAAGCTGTATTCCATTTATTAACTATTTTAGTAAATGTTGTCGAACCAGATGCCATTAAAATTTGTCTTACACGATTATGATAACGATTCATTGATTCATCATCAACGCGTAGAAAACATTGTGCTGTACGTTCTTTTGTTGTTTCATTTTGTAAATTCCAAACACCATCTTTATGTACAAATTCCTCGTGTGTCATACGTATCTTTGGTAATATGCGACATTCAAAACCACACATATTAAATAATAAATTTGGATTATCTTTTGAATAAACAGAAACAAAACTTGTTTCCCATAAAATTGTTGTTACCGAACGTGGTAAACGATTTTTAATATCCCAAAAAACAGCACGACCTAAATTAACATCATGCTTCATTAAACGCATACGTGCATCACGTGGCCAACATTTTTTATTATTATAACCAACAATGTTTTCATTATTTGGATCAGGATGTTCAGTTAAATAACGTTGAATTAAATCACGAGCTTCATCAGCTGTAAATCGGAAAAATATATGAATTCGATCAATATAACGACAATAAAGACGTATTGGATGAGCAGTTTCAATTGCAACTTCTTGATATGTTAAGAAATCATTTGGTGTTTGAGGTAAACCAGCCATATCTGATGCACGTTGTAAACCTAACACTAACAAGTCAAGCACAAGACCAAAATATTGAACAACAAATGAAGCAAATTGTAAACCACGAATAATGCCATAGGAATTAACATGATTCATATCTTTATAATTAAGTACAATATTATTTTTTGCTGTCATATAATCAGCTATGTTATGATCAACAATAAGACGAAGTAAACGATTTAATAGTGTAAGATCAATTTTTTCATAGATTTTTTCAAAATGTGATTCCAACATCACATTACATTCACCTTCGTTTGTATCCCAAATATCTTGAAGATTATTTATACCTTAAATAAAAAATATATTATTAATTTATTATATAGATTTATATTATGTCAGAGAATAAAAACACTTTTTTTGATAGTAAATCTTCATACGAAAACATTCAAAACTGAACAGAATCGATTCAACTACATAATGTTCTCATCTTCAAGAGAATATTTAGTCAAATTGAAATGCTTCCTGCAGATTCGAAATAAAGAGTATTCTTATTAATTTTTATTTCTGAGCACATGTAAATTTAATTTAATCGATAAAAATGGCCTATCATTACGATGAACAGTAGAATGGTTTCCTCAAAATTCTATCACATGCCATACCTTCAGTTTCGCTAGTTTATTTCTATTCTAATAATACGAATGATTACTTATTGATACGAAATAATATCTCATAAATCTATTTGTAATCTCTGATATTCAACACGCGTATTCTTGAAAACATAAAAATAGATATTTCTTACCTTGACACCATTTGTAAACAAGTAATGGGGGTGGTTCACTATCAGCTGGCTTAAGCCATGCTGGAAAAAGTCGACGTTTATCAGCTTCATACCATAGATATTGATCTAAATAGGCATCAGTAATTTTTTCTAATGGTTCAACATCATAAACCGGTATCAAATGACTATATAAATCCATAAATTCAATGCCACATTCTTTAAATGCACGTTGTGTTAAAAGATGACGTTTAATACGTGATAAAGCTTCATGTGGATTATCATATGCTTGTTCAATTAAACCTAATTCTTCTCGTTGCGATTGATTCAATCTTGATTTAACACTGTATGCTTCTTTTAAACGTTCTAATGCTAATATAAGTAATTTTGTATCATGTTTATATGCCAATGGTGGAAATGGTATCGGCGAAAAACGTCGAGATTCAAGCCAATGTACAACAGTTGTATAAATAGCAACGGCTTCTTCAGCTGTTATGTAAGGGCCATCTTTGAGATAGTTATGTTGTCGTTCTTGTTCTGATTTCAAAAAAAGACGTGTTAACCGGCCTAGATTTTTTTTACAAACAGTTTTATCAACGGTTGCGCCACGTCTTATACGTTCACGATTATAATGTGCTGTTGATGTCCACCAATCAGCTTTAGCTTTAACATAACGTAATATCATATTTTCAATGGGAATAGGTAAACCTGGCACTTTCCATGGAATATTTGCTTTCCAACAACGCCATGCTTCACTTAAATGTTGTAAAATAGTTCGTGCTTTATTTTGTTTAATACTCTCAGGCATCATATCTAATATGTCATGCATAACAGCAGCACGTAATTCCAAATCATAATGTGATTCAACACGTTGTTTAGTAACTGTTTTAGCAATACCTTTTGAATGGCGACCTTCAAATTGACGTGATAATAAATTACCTAACCAACGTTCTAATAATGGTGTAACACCACGTAAAAAGAATAACCATATACGCCAACCAGGTGCCCAAATACCACAACCAGGTCCTTTGCCAACAGGTCCCGTATTGAAACGATAATAAATCAAATGTTTTAAATCTTTACATAGACGTATTTGTCTCATTAATTTATATTTATAACGATACATTCCAGTTAATTGACCAACATGTGCAAATGTATATTGTAAACCATCAGCTAATTGAAATGCATCAACATTACCTAAACGATATTGTACATGACTATCAACAATTAATTTAGTTAACCGTAATATTTCACGACATAAATGAAATGCATTTCCAAAACGTGATTTTTTACGTTCTTTTGTTGTTAATGTTTTAACCGGTTTTAAATTAAAATTATAATCCAAATGAAGATAATTTAAATTTTTACGATGAATTAATAAATTTAACATATTATAACCTTGACGACAAACTTGTAAACCAACTTCAACCCAATCGAGTGTTGTTGATTGAAAGAATTTTGTTGATTTAAATGAACGAAATAGATAGCGTTTTTTTTGCGGTTTTGGTTTACGATGATGTAAAGCGTTTAGAACGAAGCATTTTAATAATTTCTGATAGGAAACACGTACTTTGACTGGATGTTCACTTGGACAATGCTCACAATACCACGTTTTGACTAATGGAATATCAAGTGCACGTCGTGTTCGACCAGATCGCAGATTAAATGGACGTGGTGCCCATAATAATGCGATACCATTTGCTGTATTATCTGTGTACAATGGTAAACCAGTTAATAGTGGTTCGAATTCTTCGGGTAGAACAAATTCTTCATCATCATCTTGATCTTGAGTTAAAAGATCAATATGTGTATCAATTGATTTTGTTGTATGGCGATGCGCTATTGGATTGATTAATGGATCAAAATAAAAAGCTGGCAAATCGGGATCTTCAGTTTTGATAAATACAACATTCGGAGTATGATACCAAGCAAGATATACTTTAAATGGATATGAATTATATAGATATGGAAATGCAATACGATATTCTGTACGTATTGGCTGACGAATAATTATTTTGTTTATATCATTAAATTCATTCCAATCTTCATCACTAGAAATTTAAAAAAAAAATTGTTTAAAAAAACACAAAAGTTTCTATTTTGAAAGAATATTTACTTTGGATTAATATCTTTAACAAGTGGTTCAAACTTAGGACCACCAGGAATAGCAATATTGAGTGCTTTCGCAGTAAAAAATGATTTCAAATCAAACAAGTAGAAATAATTGTCATCAACAAGATCAGTTAATAATTGATTACCCATACGATAAAGTGTAGAAAGAATTGGTAATGTTAATTGCCATCGACGATATGTTGAACCATTGACCATTCTAAAATAAATCAATGATATTCTTATTTTTTTCAACTGATTTTTATTGCAAGTGATTTATTTTACAGAACAAATGAAGCTTTTTTTCTTCATAGTCTATTGCCAATGAGCATTGAGTTCAACTATTTCAAGCCTTTGTCTTGATTTCGTATATACATAATATTATTCACAACCTACTGCTTTACGTTTGGTAAAAATAATATCTAAAAATATTGATGATTTTGGCATCTCCTCTTTAAAGCGCTAACTAGATCTATCTATGCTTTTCATTTAAAACTTTGTCTAAACCAATAGATAGTTATCTATGTATAGAGCTAGCGGCTAATCGCCATTTTCATTTAGAATTATATGCCTGTCATCAGCTTAATGAAAAAATACGTGAAGAGAAATAGAGTTCTGAATGGATTCCAAATGTTATCAGTAACTTTACAATGTTTATGTTCCTTGCCGAATAATTCTATCCACATTAACAACGATGGACGTCAGAGTTAAAGAAATGCCATCAAAATTAGTTGGCGATTTGTATTTGATATTCTGCTAGATACTTTATGGTATCGTGTAAAAAAATCTGAAGAAGCTCGGATTTAGAATATTACGTCAGACTTTGGAAACTACATTCACCGATTCCACGTATACGCTTTGACTTATGTTCAACTACATAAGCTATAATAAATATTTTAGCGGATGAATCAAATCTGCCAGAATAGTGCCATCATCCCAAGTTTTAATCTTCTGTATATCAATGAAACCAGACATTCGTTTTAGAGAAAACAAAACTTACTTTGTGTCAGTTAATGGTTTATGGTCATAAAACCATTCGTATATAGCTCTATCTTCTTCTGGATCTAATTGTAATTGTATTGCTTCCAGTGGTTCGACATCAAGAATATTATCAGCATAATCCAATGGTGGTTCTTCATCATCAAAAGGTGGAAAACGCATTCGCTTAAAATGTCGACGATCACGTTTTTCACGTCTCATCATAATCCACATAGTACCCCATTGAGCAATAAAAACCGGTTCAATAACCCACGGAATTTCATTCACAAATGTTATTGCACCTGTTATATGATAAATAACTTTAACATTGCGTATTTGTTCCCATGGCATAGGCATATTTTCAAGTAATTTAAGTACAGCATGTGGCATATATTTTAAAGCACCCAAATAGACACGTTTATCATGACGAAACTTTCTGTTTGTCATATCACCATGATCACGGATGATTTTTCGTATGTGTTCAGCTGGCATATCTTCTTTTTGTATATCCGTGAAACCAAAACGTCGCTTGTCAGCATAACGTTTTGTTTGTAATTGCTGCCATCGACGTGCTTTTTCTTGCAAACGATCTTCAGCCATGTAATCCATTGGGATTGACGCAGTTTGTTGTAAAGCTGGTCCTGTTGTTGGTAGGACAGGTCGTTGTAATGGAATCGTACCTTGTGCTGGTTGTTGTACAAATACAGGAAATGGTGCTGGCTGCATCATTACTGGTACTTGATTAAGAATCGGTACTGGTACAGAACCAGGTGGAACAAGAATAAATTGTGGTTGCCCACCAGTAAATCTTGGATCCATCTTGGTGATCTGAAAAATGAAATGTAATTATGAAAGAATAACGTATTGCGTTGTTTTCATGAAATGAACAAAGAATAGAAATGTATTCACCATGTTGATTGCATACGAATTGTGTTCCTCTATAAAATATTATAATTATTACTGACATCTATTTAGCATAGATGGTTACTTTGGTTTATTGAATATTTGTAATGTTATTTCATCTTGAAAACAATTTTCATGCTTTTTAATTGAATTTCAACTGAAGCTTAATATTTTCTTTTAAATTTTAATTGGGTACGTAGCTAAACATTGCGATATCATCGTTATAATGGTTCTGCTCAAAATTATTCATCTGGAACGTTTTATCTTCTTCCGTTCGTGTCATCGACCCACTCGTTCCGCGCTGTGCTTCTAATTTTATACGTAACTTGCTGTGTTGTCATTACGAACACGTAAGAATCGTTTGAATAGATATATACTTATATCTAGATATACATAAGTGTGCCGGTCGACTGAACACAATTTGTTTGCTCGTGATAGTTTCTCTACCTGTTAGGGATCATTTTTACTTTAAACGAATAGGCAAATATATAGCAGTAGAAGCAATAGATAATGCATGAATATTCGAATGTCGACGTTACATTACTCGATGGTAAACTATCAAAAGATCAGCAAGAAACAAAAAGTTCTTTATCGATAAAAAAAGAATCTGAAAAAGCTTATATTCTACTTGTCAAACAAGGTGAGTTATCAGTTATTTTTCTTTCGTGTAGATCATAGCAATTGTTCAATTTTTATTTAGACTCATCGAATGTATTTAAAATATCTGCCGATGAATCGCTAGAAAGTCTTCGGTCAGGTTCAGTTGGAATCGTTATCAGCCTACCGAAACAAAACCATCTCACTTATTTATTGAACTTTTCCAATCGAGAGGGTAAGTTTGTCTTTATGAATAGCTAATTAAATCAATCTAACTGATTGACAGTAAATAAATAAGTTGAGAAATGAGCCCTGAAAAAAAACGAAGGAGCTCAAAAGCACCTGTTCATGTGATGCACTAAATTTTTCCTTTTACCTATAGAAATATTTGGTCATTGCCAAGTTCTTCTGCATTTTCAAGAAGGACTATTTCAGATCCAAGTTATGTTTCTACGCAAATACTAGAGAAATATTCATCTGTTTCATGTGCTTAGAAGAATACATATGAGAAAGATAATTAAACGGATCATATGAGACTACTTATATATGTGTTCATATTCAAGGTAACAGTATTCGTTAGCATACTCCTGACACGAGTTTTGTAGTACGTCTAATGACTGAATTTGGAGGATCTATAATGAAATGAGTAGAGAAGATATGTTTGAAATTCTTCGTTAACTTATTTCTAACACAATAGTTGAAATTTTTCTAGAACTTCAGAAAGTTTCTTTTTCGCTAAATTTTTTCTAGAGGTAGTTCTCAGTGAAACTAAATTTGTGACTTTTGATATGCTCATTAATTGATATGTCGTGTTTTAAGACAAATAGACTTTTCAAGTGCTTAAATTAATGAAAACTCGTTAGCTTTCAAAATCGACGAACTACAATACGTATGAATACAATTGATTTTCGTGTGTAAAGAAACATAGTTATATTTGTGAAATGCATTGTTTAGCTTTTTTTGAATTTAGATGCAATCAACTTCAATAAAATTCTTGCATCAATCAAAAGTGGTGAAAATATTGACGATATTCCTACGTCTCAGTTCGATGAACGAACAGAAGAATCATCAGCAGAACAATATTTTCAAGTAGATAATTTTTATTTTTTGAGATATTTCCTTAAAATAGAACGCATTATATACTGTATTTAGTTTTATGGTTATTTGTCTCAGCAACAAAATATGATGCAAGACTATATTCGTACTTCAACATATCAACGAGCTATTCTTGATAATTCTATTGATTTTTCTGGAAAGGTTTTTATTTTTCTACTTTTTAAATACATGATTGGCCTGTTTTATTTCTTTAGGTCGTTCTTGATGTAGGTGCTGGCTCAGGTATTCTTTCATTTTTTGCTGCTCAAGCTGGTGCGCGTAAAGTCTACGCAGTTGAAGCAAGTTCTATGGCTCAACATGCAAAAGTAAAATTTTTCATAATTTTCTTAATAAAATATGGTAGAAACGTTCAATTTTTAGACTCTTATTGATAATAATCATTTAAGTAGTCGTATTCAAATTGTTCCTGGTAAAGTCGAAGAAATCACATTACCAGAACAAGTTGATGTTATTATATCTGAACCAATGGGCTATATGTTATATAATGAGCGTATGCTGGAATCATATATTCATGCTAAAAAATTTCTCAAGCCAAATGGTAAAATGTATCCAACAACAGGTGATCTGTATGTAACACCATTTACAGATGATGCTTTATATATGGAACAAGTTGGTAAAGCCAATTTTTGGTATCAACAATCATTTTATGGTGTTGATTTAACAACTTTACGTGATTTAGCATTAGAAGAATATTTCAAACAACCAGTTGTTGACAATTTTGATGTACGCGTTTGTTTAGCTAAACCAATTAAATATACAGTTAATTTTTTAACTGCAACCGAAGAAGATTTATATGAAATAAATATTCCATTATCATTCGATATGACAACAACAGCTGTTGTACATGGCTTAGCATTTTGGTTTGATGTTTCATTTGACGGAACAAGGTTTATTTGTAAAATTTTAATAATTGAGGAACTAAATAAATTCTTTTATTTTAGTTCTCAAGTATGGCTATCAACTGGTCCAACTCAACCATTAACACATTGGTATCAGGTGCGTTGTTTATTCGTAAAACCACTTACAGTAAGTCAAGGACAAGTGATTAAAGGACACGCAATATTGCATTCCAATCGAAAGTAAACATTTAGTTATTTTTCATTGCTTGATTTAATATGACATGGTTTATGTTTCAGACAAAGTTATGATGTTGAAATTTTTCTTGAAATTGATGGTACAAATATATCAGTTGAAAATACGCTTGATCTTAAAAATCCATATTTTCGGTTTGAATTCAATGTTCTAATTTCACTAAAATATAAACTTTTGTTTAGATATCCAAATGGACCTGCACCAGTTCCACCTGGCCAATTCCATGAATCTCCAACAGAACAATATTGGAATGGATTACCTGGTGAACAAGAAGCATCTGGTGGGCGTGTTCATCCCAATGCAAATCCATATTCTCAAAATTGTAACATCAATAATAATTTAAATTCAAGTGGCGATTATGATGGTACTAGAATGGCTACTGATTGGGGATGGTGTTAAGGAGTTTAAATATTATTCGAGTTGTTTGCTTTTTAAAGTTTTTTTCTTTCGTTAATTTTTTTCCAATAATGCATCATGCAAACTTCGTAGTTCTGTGATCGTTTTAGAATGTTTGTTATTTGCTTTTTTTAAACATACTTTAATATTTAATATTTAATTGAGAAGGAGAGAGAAAAAGAAATTATCTTATAGATATACATATATTTATTTGAGTGTAAAGATAGTATTTATCTATAAGATAAAATGTCTTGTACGTCTCTGTCTGATTCCAGCGAAAGCATGAAAATAGAATATTCTTTCATTCAGACTAGATCAAATTGAAAACCTTCCATGGCGAGTACGTAGAATTAAGTCTAAGTAAAATAAGATTAATGCTTGTAAAAGAGACTTTGACGAAGCTTGATTTTGATTTATTGTATTTCGCGAAACGTTTCGAAAGTTATACTTACAAGTGCTCTCTTGCTGAATTTCTAGCCGCTTGTATATTATTTATATGAAATTTTTGCAAAATAGGATTTTTCTAGTTAGATCTCTAGATGACCTTAAAAGTAAAATAGGTAGATGAAATATCAACGGAACAAACTAAAAATATGCAATTTAATTTAGAGTGAGTACATGATAAAAAAAATAGTAGCCGTCGTAATTTTAACTTTCAGGGTAAAGAAGGAAAGAAAAGTTTCTATCACGGCACTTATCCATATAAAGAAACAGAGTATAAGATTAAGTTTTTTTTTTATAGATCAAAGATTTATACAGATAATTTGATACCTTCAAAATTTCCATATTTTTAATCTAAATAAGTTTCTGAAATTCTAACATAGCCGTTCTAGCCTATAATACGAATTCATTTTTTCATGTAGAAATTAGTTTGTGAAATATTCAAAAGTAAAGAGGAAACTAGTACCCATTGATGTGATCATGATTTCAGATTTGCTGAGAGTCTATGGAGTGTGACAATTTAATTTTCGTGTAAATATTTATGGAAAATTTCTCTTCATTCTTGTAGTATCTTATTGCGAGTGTACGATGAAATCTGACTACATCAAGTGACACTCTCTAGTAAAGCAATCACCTAGGTCGAAGTTCGTTGTTTGAGCATTCCTATAAATATTTTGTTCTATGCTTAAGTAACTATGGCATTAAAACAACTCGAACTCATCTATTAGCAGTTTATGAACATAAGTTACTTAAGAAATTTTCAAATCTGATTGAGAACGACGCATAGCTACAGTATCATTTCAAACGTCACCAGACAGTTGTGTATCCTTCGTTACTCGACATTGATTAATGATTCAAGGTAAAAAAAATATTTTTCTCCGTAATGTAAAAATTAGCAGATAGCTCTATTAAACGTGAAAATTGCATAGATCAATATATAACTTTGGGAATAGCTTCATATTAAACTAGCGAGTCAAATAAACAGAAAAAGACAAAGATATGGTTTTAACAAAATGAATTTATTCAGTCTATGGGATACTTTATTTTTAAAATATCAACGAAATCGTGTCTATTGAATTCTTGTTCTTTATCGTACAGGAAGTTTGCTAAACAATATAATGACAACTTTTCAACCAGGAAATGGTCATCCTTCTACACGTCGACATGTACCTTCTCCTAAACATTCGGATATATCAAATACACTTTTACCAACAAACGATGTAAGCAACAAAACTATGTTCATACGATTTTTTATTATTTATCTATGTTATACCTATAGAAAATACCGAATGGATACGGTTCGAAAACAGCAGCATATTCTCTTTTTCAACAATCAAATGGCACAACATGAGCTTCAAAAACTTTAGTTCATGTTAGTGAACAAAAAAGAAAAATTAAAATATTTTCTATTATATTTCAGGTCTTTTTTATTCTCAGGAATACACTATTTTTATGTTTGTTAACGTCTTAGTGTTACTTTAAAACGAACAGTTGAGATTATTATTGATTTTTTGCAGATAAACAAATAATAGCATAATTTAGATTAACTGTGACAATATTCGAAGAGTTAAGTAACCATTTTTTTTACTAAATATATATTTGATTTATTTATTGTTTTCAATTTAAATAAATGTTTAAATAAAACTATTAATTACTTACATTCATTTTGTATAAATTTTTACTGACTAATATTATTGATAATAATAACATAAATATTCATTCGCTTATGTTTGATACGTTAGTTTGTGATATTTCTGCTTAATTTGAAATAAACCCCATTCAATTAATTCACGAGAATGATTGCACAGAAGTTTTTATTAATAAATTAATTTGTTTGATGACATTTTTAATTTGTCTAAGTAAATTTCACTTTAGATCAAAGAGATTGTTAATAAGCAGGTAAAAATCGTTAATCTAAAAAACCAGAATAAGATTTTTTTTTGTAACGGAGAGTGTTATATATGTAAAATGTTGAATGAAACAGAAAGCACATATTTTTTGACCAAGTCTTTCTGAATAATTAAAACTTTAAGAATCTCTTTGGAGTTAAAGAATAATGTTTACAAAACCTGAATTTCTGTTATTATTGATATTAGATAAAAGAAGACTTTATGTTACCTATTGATATCGACTTACAGTCTTATCAATCTGGGTAAAAACAAATTGATCGAATCTTATTAGATTCAAAATAAAATTATACAGAACATATTATATATACTTTCATTCGACTTTGATTTCATCGTGAATTTTTCATAACCACTATTTGCATAGTCTGCTCTAGCTGATCTAATAATTCTTACTTATTTTCTTCTGATGTTGCTCCATATTTGAACTATTGTGCTTTTGAAAAAAATTTTCTTTTTGTGAACCAATAAAAAGATGAAAATAGTTTGAATTAATTGAAAGACTCGCCTACGGAGTGAAATTATTCAGCAAAGATGACAAAAGAGCTTTGGACGCATAGTTTTCAATTTTAATAATATTTACAATTTAGAGATTGATTAGTCGATAGAAAAACTGTCTAAATACCGTCTCAACTAGAATCTATACATTTTCCTGTCGCATCTACAATTACTATTATTTTTATTTCATGGAATCAAATAAATTGCAAAGTGTCCGGAAAGTGTTTTCAATAAAACGAAAATTTTATATTTCACTTATAGTTCTGGTGGATAAGTTGATTTTTTTTAAATGTGACTAGAGAAAAGTTTTAGGTTTTGATTCAATCATACAGATCGAATCTTTCAAAATACTCTTACAAGTTAAGGTTTTTTTCGCAGTATTTTGCAATAAACTATAGAAGTGTTCTGAATTTATTGCATTTTGTTTTATTGCCGTGGACATTCTATCGTTCAGGTCGATATCTCCTTCCTTTAAATGGATTGCTTAGTACATCCACAAGACCCAATGATCGACTTATTTCCTTCAAATCTATTGATGTTGTCTTTCAAGAGTAGCTAATTACTTATTTATTTTTCTGCAAAAGATTGTTACTACTTTACTTAATTATCTTACGTTCTTTGTTATGTTTTTAGGTTTTAGAATAGTCAGATCTTTTTTTATTTTCTGTTTAATGGACATCAACTGTGATAACGTTGAATTATCTACAATAGGTGATAAATTTCCTTTTCATTTTTTTAATCCATTTAATACTTATGCTTGTTGTATCGATAGCCGGTACAAATTATTTTAGCAAGTAGAAATGTCATAGTCTACTTATCTATGTTAGTGGTGAAACTAATGCTCATTAAATTGACTCAATTGATTGGCTTAATATTGCATGTTACAGATAATCGAACAACAGGCAAACAAAATATTCGAATGAGAGAATGAAGATTATTGGAAAAAAATTGATAAATGTGGTTGGCCAGCTAAATAACACTCAACATCATACATAACACCAATAGGTCACACACCTTCGAAAATGCTGGCAGTGGTTTCATCATTCTTACTTGCTTTTTTCAACTTACTTTTGTATTACTAGGACGAGATATTATTATATCGATCAGGTAAAACAGAATGGTAACTAAAAAGTTTGGAATTCAAATTTGAATTGTCAAATATTTGGACAAAAGCCCGCAAAAGATTAGACTTCAAATTATCTGTCAGTTATTATATATAAACTAAGCAGATATACCACACACGATTGTGAGCTTTTCAATGCTATGTATAAGCTCATCAGGGTACTATAATGAGAACGTGATAACAACGTAAATGAATAAATAATGATGGTAATGTTTCAAGTTGAAGGCCAAATTTTTTTTTCTTTCTCTATCTCGTATAAAAGTTTTCAAGGTATTTGCTATTGTTGTCTATGGTAAATAAGTGTATTTTTTCTTGCCAAAATTTTTTCACTCGATCAAATGAATTTTATAGTCTATTCATATGTTTCTTGATTGTGAAGGAATGAAAAAAAATACAAATTCATAGGAACAGTTAGTTGTGTACCGGTTAAAACAAAACTAAGTGTTCTTAAACAAAAAAAATACAATCGTTTTCCTAGGAATAGAGATGTCCGTTGTGGTAGTAGCAAGTTTTCAGCTGAAATCAACATTTTTGGTATGTAGAATACTGATGATGATTAGCAAGGGTAGACATATGGCGCAGAATGATCAGTTAAATTTTGCTAATAGCAAAAATAGCTATCGAAACAAAGAATTGAAATCAAATGGTATAAATAATTTCAACTGACGTATAATGATGTGATAATACCCATGATGCAATAAACTATAAGCAATAAAACATATTAACGTGACTAAGATTTCAATAACTTCTTTTACAAATTTTTATCAGTTTATTCATATTGTTTCATTTTGATTTTATTATTTGAAGATGTGATTAAATAAAAAACAAAGAAATGTCTCATCAAACATCACCAATGGAAATGTATTTATCTTTCTGGGATTCAACACCTATCGGTCGATCGTTTTGTCTTCGCTTATGTCAGCATGAGCATTTATCGCCACAATTAATACTTGAAGGTAAAGTTATTAGTGCAGTAATCCGTTTACAAAATAATGCAACATACCATTCACAAACACAATTTATTGGAACATTGATATCAGACGACGAGTCACAACGTTTAATTTATGTTATCGATCGTTTACTAGTAAAAGATTCAACAACAAACGAATTTCATAATCATCAACCATTAACTGGAGAATTTCTTATTCCTATTCAATTTAATAATAAAAATTTTCAGTCAATCAATAAATTTAAACAAGATGGAATCAAAGTAAGCAAGTCAAATATATATAACGTTTTTTAATGTTATGTCGACGAATTTAGGAAGAGTTATGATAGTTTTAGATGAATTTGAATAAAAATATTTATCATACACTTTCCAGTGATATTTTTGTCAAATAATCTGAATCATGAATTCATTAAATTAATTCTCTCATTTTCACATTCATCTGTCATCACACTACGTAGATTTTATAATACATATATGTTGAATTATGCTTATTGCAATACTCTAGTTTTAGAGTCTGTTTAATTTCGTCGGAGCTGAAAGAAATAGAAAATAGCTCTTTTACTACGATATAAGGGATTCTAACTTTGTATGAGCCTGGTAGTCAGGGATATAACAACTATAGCCTGCGAGTGAAATTGTAAGAGACTGCGTACTTTCAATTTAAAAAAATTGTAAATGTACCCTTTTTTAAGAGCCAACAAATCTTTTTTTTGAATCCTTAATCCCATGTTTCTGCTCTTCACCAGCTATCTGTCTATAGTTTATATCTTATGAACAGATCAATAATAGATATGCTACTCATCTTATACTGGTACTGATCTGTGAAATCGCATAAAATCTTATATAATTTGAATTGAACTTTGTTTAATATTCTTATGTGTATGTGTCATTTTTTCAGCTTCGAGATTTGTTTGTAATTTCTTTAATTTATCCTTTGCTTGTGTATGATCTTATGGCAAGAAAAACTCTTAACAGATTGCGCTAAAACTGTCTTTTTCCATTTGAAAGTTTTTCGATAAATATCACACAAGAATATCTACATGTAAACAATTTTCTACTTCTGCAAGAAATTCAATTTATTTACTTAAATAAGACGTGTAGAACACAAAACTAAGTTCATCACCAAACTTATAGGAAAAAGGAATGAAATAATAACATTATACTTGGTATAGGATTCACTTTTAATTCAAAAACTGATGTCGATTTTCTCTTAGAAAACCAAGATTTTAAAATTAATATTTCATTCTAATGTTTGTTTTATAGACTGTATGGGAAAAGTTTTTTATTTTTTGTAGGCTATCGACAACTACGGTCATTCATCCTTGCCATTTGAAGTACATCATTCTTCCTATCTTTGCTGTTATATGACCTCAATAAATTCGACTTGTTTAAATATTGATTTATCATTTAATCTTTTAACAATAAAAAATAATTTTACATTAACACCAATTAGTCCTGATTACATTCAAATACTACCAACAGCTTTATTTAAAAAACTTAGTTCATCAATAGAGAATACTGCCGATCTGAATCAATCATGTTTTGGTTATTGCAGTTTAGATCGAACATCAAAAAATAAAATTTTGCTAATACTTGAAAATGACCCACAAGCATGTTCATTGCCATTAGTTGGAATGTAAGAAGACAAAAACAAAAGAGTTGAAAACACTTTTTTCACTATTCTAGTTGGGTATCGAACATAGTTAATATTCAATCTTCGTTTGTTTGGGCAGCATGTATTCGTTATTATATGAATTCTTCACTCCAACAACGTCTTCGTTCTGGAATAAATTCACAGCAATCATTTTTACTTGCATTTTTTTTATCAACACTACATAATCAATGGGTTTTCTACGAAGTTTGTTCAATACAAACAAATTCAACATCATTAATGACTATGGATTATGATGTATGGACATGTTCAAAGACAATAATCATTCCAAACTCAGCATTAAATCAGTTTGATTTGAATTCTAGTGCACAAGTTCCATATGATTTTGAATTTAAACGTGTTTATGATGTAACAAAAACTTCTATCATTTCTTCTCCTAGTCGACATCAAACTGTTAAACCAATGAATGATACTCGATTTCCACGGGATATATCCTTGCTTTGCAAAGAAACACTTCCAAATGATGATGGTCCAGATAATGATAATGATCAACATCACGCTACACTTTTATCACCAACTACAAATGGAAGTTTATTTGGAGTTCCTCGAATACCACCAAAACAATCCATATATGTATCACCTTCATGGGATCCATTATCAACTACAACAATAAAAACTCCGAAGCGTAATATTCGTCGATCAACGGTATCTCCGAGATCAAAACAAGTTTCTCCTGTAGTAACACAAACAATTACTAATGATATTCAATGGAAAGAAGAAATAATTGCAAGAATGCAATCCTATGACAGTCATATTCAATCATTAACTGCGCTTGTTGCTCAACTTTTAGTTTCTCAAAATCAAATGCAACAAAATTCCATATTAACACCAATCAGTGGATATACTAAACGTGATGTTGCAGTACAAAGTGAACCACTCTCACTTAGATCTAGTCTATCATCGTCGAACATTTCTAACATTGAATATTGTCAACAACAACGAACATCATACAACGCCACGACAGCCAATACAGTAAGGTTTATAAGTTTACAATAGAATTTTAACCTTTCAATGTGAAAAACTGTAAGTTGATAAAAATGATATATGATCAGTGCATTCTATTTTGTCACGACGGAAAAAGTCGACAACATTAACTTTATAAGTGAGCAATGCGATAAGTTTAAACAACTAAAATTTGTTGGAATGGTAGAAACTTCAGAGTACAGCGATTTATAGAAAAATATTTAAGGCAAACGAAGAAAACACATTCTATTAGTTGAATATTGTTATCATCGAAATTAAGGATCTATATGAAGTTTTGGTAAAAATACTGAAATACTGACTGTCTATCAGTAAGTAACAATTTCAGTCTAAAATAAATATGTTTCTGAAATCTTATACCTTGAATGTTCATTGTAATGAAAATTTTGTCACGTAATCATGTCGTTAAATGTAACATCTTATGTGTTAAGGTATCATGTACAAAATTTCAATCACCATTACCATCATCGTTTGTTCATCAACACGAACCAACGGTCGACTGCTATTCATCTATTCGTACACCAACTACACCTCTTCGATCTAAATCACCTTCATTACCAGTAGCTTCTGCAGATCTGAATCCAGTTGATATTCTTAAACCAATTTTTCAATTTATTGACACTCAGCAACAAAAACAACAACAACAACAATCGACAGCTTCATTAGTAACAACATATAATTCAACTGATAGAGGATTATTCAAGTTAAATAATAAAGACACTGATAATCACACTGAAGATACGTGTCCTTTAACAAATTCCATTCAACCACAACAGCAACATGTCACATCAACAAGGACTACTGGCATCAGTTTCATTTCCAATGGTGTTCAAATGCAATTTATCAATCAAAGAAGTAGTACGACTACTCTTTTTTCTCAATCACAATCTCTTCATACTTCTCCTCAAAAATCAGAAAATAATATTTCTATTGAAGTTCATGGTTTAGAAATGAAATATCTTGAAGATGATCAATTAGCAGTTGCTATTGAATGTGATCGAAAAGCACAAAAATCGCTTAATATACTACCAGAAACTTCACAAATTGTTGATAAAAGTTTGTCATTTGAATCTAAAGAATATTTACGACGATATGATCTTTTTACAGATTCCAATCGTTAAAAAACAATGCTATAGACAATTAAATGAAACATTATCTTGATTAATTAATATATGCATATATATTGAAACTATGATTGCACCCTTACTCAAACTGTATACATAAAGGTGCACAAGTTTCTAAATAATTTCATCCATATAAATCGTTTTCTTTTTATTGTAAATATCTCTCATCTTTATTTTTTATTAGTGATTTCTTATATGCTTGAATGAACGAAAAGAGATTTTTTTTCTCATTTCCTTGACGACTGTTCAGGTATTTTTTCTTTCTCTTTAGTTATAAATAAATAATGAAGATTGTAAATGTATTTTTTCGGTATTGATTTAGAGATCTCTTTTTTCAAAAATATTTTATAGTTAGAAATGAGACTTAGGATACGATCATAATGGTAAAACCATTCGAAAAGCATGTGGTGGACGTTTCGGTAAATTACCATAATAATTTGGTAAATACTCATACTTTTTAAAACCAACTTTTTCATATAAGCCCATTGCTTTATGATTTAGTACATGTACATGTAAATGTATAAACGCATGTCCTGTTCTATATGCCCATCGAATAATATTTTTTAATAGCTTTGTACCTACGCCGTGACCTTGATATGATTCATGCACACCGAATAGCATTAGATAGAGACCTCCACTGTTGCTAACATTATCGACCAATGCACAACCAACGCACAGACCTTGTCTTATATCATATGCACAAAAAATATGCGGAACTGAATAAATCATATTGACTAAATCCTCGTAACGATAATATTGACCAAAAATTGGATAGAAAACATCAATAATATCATTTAATCGAAACTCAATATGATGATAAATTTGAATCGTTGAATCATGTTTTGAGCCTTTCTTCTTTCTTCCAACAAATAATTTATACATGGTGAAAATAGACACTATTTGCTCGAATGAATATGACGGTTGGAAATACTTGTCATGCTTGTATTCGTATCGTAAAGGTGAAGAAAATCAAAATGATATGGTTGATCGATCGATCGATCGTATATGAAACATACATATACATTCATAGTGGCATGTGCTAAAAATCATGATAGTATTTGCCGTCTAACTAGCTATATCTGCACCAGTTATGAACGATATTTTTTGACCTTCTCATAAAAATGTACAATTGTTTTCTTTTTCTTTTAACTGATTCATTTGAGAAATAATTACTGAAAGTTATTATTTATAAGTTATATTCAAGGCATTTAATCTTACTGATCAAAATCTATTTCATTTTTCGACAGAATAATAGTTAAATTTGAGGACAATAATATTTGCATCTGAGTGACCGAGTTGAATATAGAGTTCTGCAAGGGTATGAAGTTCGGTGGCCTACCCTATCTTACATTTTTTTCATACCCTAGTTGTACCCTATCCCACTAAATTCAAAAATTACAAGAATTGCATATCGTGGATAATTTCGTTATTTATTTGTAAGATGATAAAGTTAAATTTCACAAATGTTAACAATAGTATACGAAAAATATCATAAATAATATGAAAATCAGAAAATGGTACTACATGGACCACGAATATTATCAACAATGCGAAAGGAAGAAAAATAGTATTAAACCCCTACGGTTCAGAAGACCGATGTTCTTCTACTATGTAAAAGTGTGCAGAATTTTCAGAAGAGTCTTCTATTCTCTTCCGTTTACTTTCCTAATTTTTCATGAAAAAGGCTTTTAAAAATCAAGAAATAAGATTTATTCTTTTTAAATATTCAACTAAAAATTAGTCGTATTTTCATACTAAAATACTGATTAAAGTGGCAATTTTTCGAGAAATTAATTAATTAATAAGGGTCATTTTATTGCATCTAGCGGATCATTTCTTCAAGGGAGTCTTCTATATCACATGGAGAGATTTACATGAATCACGAATATTAAAAACAATATCGACAAAGAAAAAAGAAAGACATGAATAGCTGTTGTCATTTATTAATGAATGACTCGAATTAATCATCCAATAGGTATTTTCCCATTATTTTTCTATGAATAGAAGATATTGTTCGAAAGTAGAGGCTACCTAAATTCGAGCGTTTAAACAAGTCAAATTGACATAATGAAAAGTTTACTCTGAAATATCCTACATTTTTTCAAAATTATACCTTAGCTCTACCGTACGGCAGGGTAGGGTAGTGCTGTAGGACTCTAATAGACAGATCATTTGAGAAAAGTATTTATTAAAACAAAAGAGGAAAGAAGACATGATTCAGAAATAAATCATTGTTAGCAGTGGCCTGTCAAAAATGGCAGCTTACAATAATAGTTTAGTTTCTTTGTTTTCATTCTCACCGTTCGTTGAATAAAATCTATACAATATTTTTCCGGTTAAATAGATGTCCCATAGTTCTAAACAATTTAAGCACACACATTGCCGGTAGCATTTTGTATGAAGCATTGCATGTGTAAAGTAATATCTTGATGTGAACGAGTATTGCAGACTGACTTGTGATTTTTGTAATGTTTATCTCAGAAGAAGTACGGGTCAATCGAATAAAACAGTTCAACAAAAAAACACAAAGTTGGATTGAAATGTTTTGAAATCATGAATGAACTTGCGGCAAAAAAATGACTGATATAACAGTTACAAACTAGATGCGGGATGCCGTTTGTTTTGTTTAACTAGAGTCAGAAAAATTCTATCCATATTATTCCGTCTTTGGCTTACCATTGGAATTTTCCGTCTCATTCTCAGTGTATCCAGCGCTTGATTTTCATGTGTCTGCTCTTTTGTATAGAAGCACATGGTCATTTTGCTCAATTGAAGGAAGGAAGCTTCTCCAACAAGTGTGTACGAAATATTGGAAGAAAGGCGAAAATCTATAGAATTTAGCGTAATTTTTTTGAGAGAAAATTTAAAGATATCCCATTGTATGTAAATAAATGTCATATTTATCAAGTACTATATCTCTTGTTAGTTTTATTTCTAGAATAAATGTTTGAACAAAACGACAGCGATTGTCATCACGAATAGTAAATTGTTGTCTGTTGGAAAGAATTATTTGAGAACATAGATATTCATACGAATCATGTGACACACTTTCAAATTTAAAGATTGATTGAAGATGCTCAACAATATGAGAATATTCAATATATTTAACTTGATCACATATAAATATGTTTTTTATTTGTAAGAATGAAAAAACGAATGATGATATCACAGATCATATGAAACATCATTATCCGACTGATGAGAAACACTTTTCAAAGGCAAATCTGTTCGAAAAAGAGTCTCAATTTTATTGTCACGAATTGCACGAAGAAATTCACCGTGAAATATCAATTTAATTTCTTAATTTTTTCATTAAAATAAATTGAAAACCAAAGCCGGTAAAAATTGATAATTCCCTTTTTGAATAAGTCGATATCTCATTGTTGTATGTCCACTAAAAATACAAACTTAAGATCCATTTGATCGTTGTTGTCTCATTGGCATTGAATTTAATATTGAAAGAATAGTAATTCTAATTGAAATATAAGCATTTATTTACTTCGTCTGTAATAGGCTTGATAATAGAATCTAACTATAGTCGTTGTTTTGTGTTTAAGTCTATGACTTTCAATTGATCTGTTTCTGGTAAATTCATTTCTAAAACTATAATTACGCGTTTAATTCATACATCATAAAATGTTAAAAGACTTCCAGTCTTTTCTTCAAAATCATTCATTTGTTTTAAAGCCATTTTAATAAATTATTACTTGATAAACAACGAGCGTTTATTTTACTACTGTATAGTAACGAAAAAGATTCACTATTTAAAACGAAGTTCTTCTTTTATTTATCGTAAAACGTTTTTTTTCTGTGATAGAGACATCTTTCTTTTTTAAAGTCGAACGATTTGGTTTTGTTTTATTCATTATTAATGTAACTATCACAAAAATAAATGTATATTTTGAACAAAGATGACAACAGTGAATCAAATAAGATTGTGCCCTCATACCCACGCCCTATCTTATTTAACGTCGAAAGAACAAAGACAACGCTGTCTAAATAAAATATTGCTTTCTAATTCTATTCATTTTTAACAAGCAAACATTTTATTATTGTCTTTAAATATCTTATTACACTAGTTTAGAATTCGTTTGGTTGTCGTTTTTGAGTTGTAGGTGCGATACTCTTCTGTCCGTTAGATTGAGCGCTACTCAGCCAATACACGCCAAGAAGTGATGATAAATATGTAAATGCAAATGAAGTTAGCATTAAATTGTATGAATAAGATAAAGCACCAAAAAATGATCCGAATGTTGCCAATAAAAATATTGAAGTGACTATTAATAATGTAACGAATATAATTGGTAAATGTTCATATTTTACGACCTTTGTTAGTATAATAATCGCTGCAATAATACAGCCAATAAGTAGAATCAAAGAAATTACAGATAAACCAGCAGTTGATGAATGACCAAAGGAAAATATATTAGCGTGATACCATCCCGGTGTTGCCAAGCCAATGAGACAGAAAAGAGTGGATATGCTCGTGATTACGAGAATAGCTATGAGTATTGTACGTTCGTTGGGAGGCTCCATATCGGTAAGAAGTGCGAAGAGATGTGAAACAGTGTATACTTAGTTAATAAAATGCATACAAACATATAGATATGCATTATCTTATCAATTTTGTAGCGCAAATACAGCAAAGAATGACACATAAAAGTGCGTTTCGATAAATATCTTATCATTTTAAAGGATGACCATGGTTCTTACGCGAGACTATACACGTTTCTACCATATTGATTCATATAACCTATATATCGTCATTCATTTTAACTACTTATTTGAGAAAGCGTACCTGTATGTACAAGAGCCGAATTGAAACGACACACTATTTTTAATTCTACAAAATAACAATTTTCCGTTCGATTTATTTGTTCTTTTTACTATTGCTTTTACTTGATTCATGAGATAATAATATTTTATCTTCGATATACATTATAAAGGAAATCCGTTGCATATCGATGAAATATAGTAGTGTCTTCACCTATTTCATAGTGCTTCTCTACCTTTATGACTTTTGTTTCTGCAAGAATATCAATTAAACCGAAAAAACGAACGAAGACGTATCTGATATTGTATTTTCTTCTTGTCAGACGAGGAAAGATGATTATATCTGACTATTTAGAATTTATTATCATGCTATATCATATAATTGTACGTTTGGTGTAAATATCTCTGAATGTATATTTAATTTGTGGAAAAAAATTTGTGTTAGTTGTATAGAGTTGAGGTTGAGTGACATCTCTTGATTTTCATATGTTGTAAGTTACTTATAATTGGTTCATTTCGACTATACGCATCAATGACATTTTTTTTTGTTAGGCCCCAAACAAACAGACCAAAAAGATAAAACAGAATTAACCACTAAATCGTCTGAAAAAGATGACTTAAGTGTGAATTAACCAATCACGTTGCTTAATTCTGTTTTATTTTTTTGGTCTGTTTGGGGCCTTAGGGGTCAAACACACACGCTAGAAAAAATAAAACTGAATTAAGAAATGCGATTGGTTAATTCAAATTTAAGTCACCTTTTTTTCTGAGGTGAATTAGTGGTTAATTCAGTATTAACTCGCGTCGCGTCGTCTGTTTGACCCATTAGATGTAGATTATTTACATTAGTGCCTAATTAGAGGCATATATCTTGAACTGTTTTTTTCATATGCCGTTGGGTTTCCATCTCTGTTATTTTTCTTCTTTCTGCTTCTATATGATTATGCGTTAATCTTATTGCCATTCTTTCGAAGTTGATCAGAATACTTTTCAAATTTTCTTTTTGTTTTCTTAGACATCATCTATATCCTAAGTTCATTAATCAGCGATCGAATGTACTAGAAATTAGTGGTATTTAATTTAAGTTCTTACAAGTGCCTCTTTAATGTGCATGGGCGATGCCTACGGGGAGATCCAATAATATAATATGTCATGTTCATATATGTTTTAATTTAATTGAATACTTTTATATCATTTCTTTCTAGAATATTGAAATTGAACTGGTTTAGATTTCGATTGTCCCATTAAAACCACAAAAACGTAAGAATTCTTTTCTAAATTAGTTTGTTGATAAACTATGTGTCTCCTCTTCACCAATTGAACCTCATTTTATGTAGAATGAATTTTTTATATGAAGGACATTCGTATCTATGATGATAAACGAGGCAGGTTAGTACGCCTTGAAATTGAATCAAATAATATCCTACGAAAAGAATATTTTAATGACGTAGGATATCTTAGGTCAGGATTCGAGTACTTCTTGAAAATATTCGCCGTGCAGCTGGCTCCATCTAAGGACTTCCTGGCTCCAAGTAGATCTCGACGAGCTCTATCCACTGCAATATTATTTTCCTCACCAAGTAACTTCCTTCCGTCCGGAACACCCCTTTTACTGCTAAAAAATAAGACAAAACAATGAAAACACAACTAAAACCTGTCGGGATTCGCTCAACGACTGGTTCCAACAAAACCGCCGCTGGCTCCAAGTAGAACTCGCCGAGCTCTATTCAATGACCGCCTTCCGAATGCAAGTAGGTGCTTCCAATCCCCCAAAATCTGCTAAATACCTGCCAAAGCCACGTCTTCATTCCTAGAACCCGTCGCGATTCGCTCAACGACTGGCTCCAACAAAAACAAGACTGGTTCCCGGTAGAACTCGACGAGCTCTATTCAATAGTCACCTTCCGAATGCGATTCAGTTCTTCCAATCCACCAAAATCGGCTAATTACCTTAAAAAAACCGGATTTTGTACCTACAAATCAGTC